TAAATCTGCATAATTAAAGTGACGCAATGAGGTCAAATATATTATCCGGTTTCTTAAACGATACTATCGATAAAATACATATTCATGAGGCTCATATCCAATCAAAAAGCCGCCTCGGGTGCTTATTTTGTCTTCAAATGATCCAAAAGAGGCGGAGCCTAATCACATTCGTCTGCATGGTTTCCGCGCGTGCTGCTTTCCGTCTAGTAATTATAGGGTGCGTTTAATCGACACTTTTTCACCCTAGAATCACGGTTTCTAAAGACGTTTAGTTTAAAACGCAATGCGTTCAAGCGATTTTTTCGTCGGTCGTAAAAATAAACGTCTTTGAAAACACAAACATGAAACGCTGAAAAAGATGCGTTTTGAATCGTGATTCTGCAGAATCACGGTCGCTAAAATTCGATTGAACGGACGGAGTTTTCAATCATGATTGTATGACGGAGCCTGTTCCGGTTTGGGCAAAAACCGCGCGCCTGCTTTTCATGCAATTTGTGTTTACTATACCATGCTCTTTATCGTGGCCTGTTCCGTTATGTTATACCTTGTTTTCCTTCTATCTTTTTCTCTTTCTGTCTTTCCTTATGTTATTCTTTGTTTTTTTCTTCTATCACCTTCTCTTATGTTATTCTTTATTTTTATATTTCTATCACTTTTCTTTTGTTATTCTTTGTTTCTTCCTTCTATTTTTATGTTAATCTTTGTTCTTTTCCTTCTCTCAGCCTTTCTTATGTAATTCTTTGTTTTTATAATTCTATCACTTTCTCGTTTGTTATTCTTTGTTTCTTCTTTCTATTCTTATGTTAATCTTTGGTTTTCCCTTCACTCACTTCTCTTATGTTATTCTTTGTTTTTATCATTCTATCACTTTCTATTTCTGTCTTTCCTTATGTTATTCTTTGTTTCTTCCTTGTATCACATTCTCTTTTTGTCTTTCATTATGTTATTCTTTGTTTCTTCCTTTTATTCTTATGTTATTCTTTGTTTTTTCCTTCTATCACCTTCTCTTATGTTATTCTTTGTTTCAATCATTCTATCACTTTCTCTTTCTGTCTTTCCTTATGTTATTCTTTGTTTCTTCCTTGTATCACATTCTCTTTTTGTCTTTCATTATGTTATTCTTTGTTTCTTCCTTTTATTCTTATGTTATTCTTCGTTATTTCCTTCTATCACCTTCTCTTATGTTATTCTTTTTTGTTATAATTCTGTCACTTTCTCTTATGTTATTCCTTGTTTCAATCATTCTATCACTTTCTCTTTCTGTCTTTCATTATGTTATTCTTTGTTTCTTCCTTTTATTCTTATGTTATTCTTTGTTGTTATAATTCTGTCACTTTCTCTTATGTTATTCTTTGTTTCAATCATTCTATCACTTTCTCTTTCTGTCTTTCCTTATGTTATTCTTTGTTTCTTCCTTGTATCATATTCTCTTTTTGTCTTTCATTATGTTATTCTTTGTTTCTTCCTTTTATTCTTATGTTATTCTTCGTTATTTCCTTCTATCACCTTCTCTTATGTTATTCTTTGTTGTTATAATTCTATTACTTTCTCTTATGTTATTATTTGTTTCAATCATTCTATCACTTTCTCTTTCTGTCTTTCCTTATGTTATTCTTTGTTTCTTCCTTGTATCACATTCTCTTTTTGTCTTTCATTATGTTATTCTTTGTTTCTTCCTTGTATTCTTATGTTATTCTTTGTTTTTTCCTTATATCACCTTCTCTTATGTTATTCTTTGTTGTTATAATTCTATCACTTTCTCTTATGTTATTCTTTGTTTCAATCATTCTATCACTTTCTCTTTCTGTCTTTCCTTATGTTATTCTTTGTTTCTTCCTTCTATTCTTATGTTATTCTTTGTTGTTTTTTTCCTTCTATCACCTTCTCTTATTTTATTCTTTATTTTTATAATTCTATCACTTTCTCTTTTGTTATTCTTTGTTTCTTCCTTCTATTCTTATGTTAATCTTTGTTCTTTTCCTTCTCTCAGCCTTTCTTATGTAATTCCTTGTTTTAATAACTCTATCACTTTCTCTTTCTGTCTTTCCTTATGTTATCTTAGTTTCTTCCTTCTATCACTTTCTCTTTTTGTCTTTCATAATGTTATTCTTTGTTTTTATAATTATTCTATCACTTTCTCTTTTGTTATTGTTTGTTTCTTCCTTCTATTCTTATGTTATTCTTTGTTTTTTTTACTTCTACCACCTTTTCTTATGTAATTCTTTGTTTTAAGCATTCTATCACTTTCTCTTTCTGCCTTTCCTTATGTCATTCTTGTTTCTTCCTTATATCACATTCTCTTACGTTATTCTTTGTTTTAATAACTCTATCACTTTCTCTTTCTGTCTTTCCTTATGTTATTTTTTGTTTCTTCCTTCCATCACCTTCTCATTCTTTGTTTTATTATTGCGATCTATGCTCAAAACAGCAGTCGACAGTCGGCCGTAAACAATTCCAAAAAGCGCGCGCCGAAGTTGACCTTTACTTCCTGGGTCAAACTGCAAGTGTGATCCGCAGTGGCTGGGCTCGAAATGAGCTAGAATCAGCGTTGATAAAAAAATCGCTTGAACGCTAACCGCAGTGACCTTGTTGTTTGTAATGGCGTTTTGATTTGTGATTCATGTTTGTGATTCTAGCTTCGAAAATTCGATTGAACGCACCCTTATTTAAACGTCTTTGCATAAAGGTCATGACGCGCGCGTACGCGTGCGTCAAAATTAAAAAATGCTCAAAATCCAAAGACGTTTAAATATCACTTAACTATTAAACAAGAGTACGAAACAGGTCATTTTAGGCATTTGAAAAATTTGCTCGCGCGCACTTCTGCGTGCGCGTTTACGCGCGTACCCGCACGCACTGGCATTATGCAACATAGAATCGCCGAATTTGTCATTATATTTGGCACATTTTCCAAGCATTTTGATACCTTGTTCACCTTTTTCTGACCATTAATAATGGAATGAGCGTCCGTTTAAGATACATGTCCTTGCGTGCGAGCTCTTGTATAACATAGCATATATGGGCAAAAACATGCCTATACAAAATCCATTGTAGCTCTTTAGGATTCATGGTGACCTCATTTGTTTTCTTCATATTTTGATAGAGTATGAATAGGAGATATGATTTCATGTCTCATTTGGCCTTCAATTAACTCATGACGTCATCATAATGGCCTCCGAACTCAAAATTTCAATTTGCATATTATGACATTAGCATATTATATGTATGACAATTAATATTCTGTCAACAATTACTAAGAAAATTAAAGTTTATGAAATTTTCTGTACAGAGAGAATTGGAGAGGAGCTCGCATGATACGTCCCAGTGTTGCCAATTTGTTTCCCACTGATGACACCTTCAACATTCATAACTTTTCTAATTTAATCGGATATTGCTCTAATTGTCACTAATCTATTTCTCTCATTGTTTTGCTTTTCTCAATACCAACTCAATCCCAGGGTTGACTTCCCCTTTAAATAAATCTTGATTGAATTGAATTGAACTTAATTGAATTGAATACTTACAGGTGCAAAGATTATTATCGCAGCTATATGTAACTCCTTCACTTTCAGGGCAACTAGAACAGGGCAAACCGGATTCGTATGGGCGACGGGTTTCGTCACCACTGGAAGATAATTATAAAAAAACATTCAATATCAAGACTTCAACTCATTAACTAGAAATGCAATCGTGTCAGAACGATGTGCGTGCAATGACGCCATGTTTTTACGTGTCAAACGAAAGAGCATCTTTCGGACTAGTTAATACGCAGAGTATGAAATAGCATTTAATGTCATGCTTGACGATTTTAAAAATCCGGCCTCGAGATGCTCTGCACTTGGCCACTTAAAATGTGCCTATAAAATTTCAAGAAAAATAAAGATCGTTCTGGGTCCAAAAGCGTGAACCCGATTTGCCCTATAGACAATGCGTGTAATGCATGGGCGGAAAACGTACAGGATCTGTATTATGACCGGACTTAATTTTTTTTTTCTCTCTCTCTTTATGTCTCTTTATGGGACGTATTCATTGGAAAGAAAATGTCATGGCTGTTATTGTAAACCACTCTTTTTTTCTATGATAATCCTATCGAAACACGTGATGCAAAAAAGATTTATAGGACAAAATGGCGTCTTAAATGACCCCCTTGACCAATTTTAAAAATCCGGCTTTGAGGTTTTTCAAGGAAAAAAAGGACGTTTAGTGGGCGAAAAGCAGTCTGAAAAATGACGTCATGGCCGATAAGTGTTATAATCGGGCGGAAACTCGGCGGAATTCGTATAGTGACCCTTGTTCAAATGCGATTTACTCACAATTTTCTGTGTGAACATATACCATACTTGGTATCATTCGAAAGGGCACTTCATTGCAAGCATCAAACGCGCTATTACGTAATGCATAGTAAATTCATCATTTTTGGCGATAACTTTGCGAAGAGGGCATTACAATTTACTAAACTTGGCAGACAGTTGTCACGTATACGGATACATGTGTCTGCCAAGTTTCATTGATGTAGGTATAAAGATCGCCATTTTAGAGCAAGGTAAAACACTTTGAATTTGCATAATCATTTCTAAGTTTATTCCGAAAGTATTTCTCGTACTAATTTTTACTATGTTCATGATGCTCGACTATGATTGAGTGATATTAAGTTTATATGCCATGTATATTTGTTCATACAATGTATTTGTTTTTGTATGTGTTTGCACTTCAGAACCTAAAGAAGGCCTCACAAGCCGAAAGCTCGTAATAAAATAGTAAAGTACAGCTACGTCTTACGTTCCTAGAACATTTTCTTCACACCGACATATTCTGGAACACCCGTTGTCATGTCAGAGTTTAGAATTCTCGCACTTTTATATATATATATATATATATATATATATATTTATAAACTAGAACCTTGTTTAAAAGTGTATGCGTTTGTGTGCGTGCGTGTGTGTGTGTGTCAATATCCCCGATAAAAATGGGAACAATGATCATGCCATGATGACAATAAATTACCTTGTTCCGTACATACAGACGAATACTTTGTACGCAAATTCACGTTCACATTGAGTCATGCCACATCCAACGAGAGAAGTTGTAGCCCGCACCATCTGTTTGTACCCAAATGAAACATATATATAAGGATAATGATAATAATAATGATAATAAAAATAATTACAAACTTTTGATTGAATGTTTTTGTGTGTTTTTCGTAACTGAAGAGTTAAAGGCGGACTGGTTGAATTTGGGTCTTTGTTGAATACTTTTAGATAGAAGCTGCAATTTGTCATATTTTCAGGAAACATAAATAAGAAAGAAAAAAGATTTTTTCTTTTCTTTTCACAAACTTGAAAATGACCAAACTTGGTAAGGGTATGAATAATTTCGTTGTTAATTGTATGTATTGTCAATGGCTAGAACAGATTTTGAGCTTTGAAACTTACCCGAGTGTAAGAATAACAATTCTCGGCACAGGTGTTGTCTTCGAAGTTATAAGCTCTCTTCGCAATATTCCACCAATCCACAAACGAAACCAAATTTGTGTCGACGAGCCCACGGGAGGCGCTCATGCCTTTACCCCATACTCTCCATTCGCATCGGTTAGCCCGCGACTGCGCTGTATTTGCAAGCTCATCGTTCCATCGCTGTAATCAGAGAACGAGGCAATTATACTTGTATTTCTTTTATGTCGCTTCATTGAAAGTAATTTTTTTTGTTTGTTTAAAGTCCAACGATTGTTACATACAAAGATTACATAGTTGCATTGCTCAAAATTATATAAAAGAATAAATTCACACAAACTGACAAATTAAGGAATGAAAATGGGATAAGAAGTGAAGAAGAATTGTTCAACATATTGCACTTCAAAATGATAATAAACTATATAGACATCGAAACAGTTACAGGTAAATTTTCTTTTTGGCTGCGATAAAAGAACTTTAAAATCGTTATTACAGCCATCCTGATGAAACTCTTGCATAATGATAATAATCATAAACAAATGATTTTCATAATAAAGTAAGAACAGAAAAAGAGAAACGGAAAGAGAGAAACTGGGGAAGATCGTCAAAAAAGAGAAGAAAGGATCTGTTGAAAAAAGGAAAATCTTAAGAGTGCCATTTTATTTGCTCATAGTATATACATTCATGAAGATAGCACTGACTTTAGGCAATCAATACAAATTAGTATGCGAGTGCTGTTTTCGTTGACTTAAAAAAGCTTTTGAACGGTAAATTGCGATATTTGGATAATGAAGCTTATAAAAAAAGAATTACTGGTATCCCTTGTGCAAATTTGAAAAGTTATATGACAGACATAATGGGCCGTATGCATAAAAACAAGCAATTGCTTGTGCTAGCCTTTTGCTTGAATCGGTATGCACACAAACAAGCAATTGCTTATAAGCAAAAGCTTTTGCTTACAAGCACAAACAATTGCTTACTACTCGTAAGCAAATGCTTACCAAACAAGCAATTGCTTAAAACCGTATGTATAAAACAAACCTTTTACTTGTCTTGATAAGCAATTGCTTGCGTTTTTTCAAGCACCTCCGGACCAGCTTGAGCTCTTGCTTACTCAGGGCATTCTCGTGTAAGGATTAAATTTTCATACCGTTTCAAGCTCCATATTCCAGAGGTTATGTTGTGATTTCATATCTAATCAAATTCCTGTTATTTTAGACTTTTTACGGCAATTTTTGTCCATCGATCTACACAGAAACCCCCCTGATGCTCTGCGCTGTTTTCCCCCTATTTGCGTAATAAAAAAATACTGCTGCCAGGTCGGGCACGAAGCGTCGTTGTCCTACTGTGCGATGTTCGCACAACCGTAACGATCCTTTGTCCAACACATAAGCAATTGCTTAGGCAGTGCAAGCAAAAGGTTTCAGCACAAGCAAAAGCTTGTGCATACGAATTTAAGCAATTGCTTGAACTTGCCCTTTTGCTTGACCAGCTCTTGCTTTTGCTTAAAGCATTTGCTTATAAGCAATTGCTTGTCTTTATGCATACGGCCCGAATTCACAAAGGAGGTTTGTCGACAAACCTCGGTTTGTCGACAAACCTCCTTTTGTTTCGACAAACCTCCTTTTGTTATTTACAAACCAGGTTTGTAAAATACGCGTCAAAACGCGTCATATGACGTACATAAACCTCGGTTTGTCGACAAACCTCCTTTGTGAATTCGGGCCAGTATGTCAGATATTTGTAAATTCCGAGCTTTCATTTGAATCTGTTATAACATGTGGAGTCCCAAAATGGTTCACAGTATGCTACCTCTGTTTTTTTTATTATTTATATAAACGACTTGGTTGATTGTTTCAAGTACAATTAGGGTAGGTCTAGGGAATTGGAGACCCTTAAGCACATTTGCATAATTAACATAAACATGAAAAATGTTACACATACAGAAAGTTTTGTATTCTCTTCAGTAACTCCTCTCTTTGTTTGGTAACAAAATTGTGGTCATGATGTAACTGATTAATAAGATAACAATGATTAATGACGTCATCACCAAAGGTCTCTCATTACCTACATGTGAAGTTACAAATCAAGACATTTTAAATACAATTTGAATGGAAATGGGATTGTTATAGTTAATTCAAACACTGTTTGAAAGAGATACATGCAGCCAAAGAACTTATTGTAATTTTGAAACGATCTTTTAACAATGTGGCCCAAAATATGTTAGTTTACAATGCCATTGATTTCATCAATTTGCTTTCTCTTCTTCTTCTGCCTCTTCTCCTTCCACTTCTTTGTCGTCTTCCTCTTCTTCTCCTTTCTTCCCTTATTCACCTTCTCCTAATTATCATTATTATATTATTTTCTTTACTCTTTATTCTATTTTTCTTTTCTTCTCAAATTCACTCTCCTTGTACGTCTCTAGAATCTCATACTATACTACTCCGTTTTCGCCTCGTATAATACCTTTTAAAGTCACACCTAATATATTGTGTTACTCGGTTCGGGAGCCTATTCACATGCAAGATATGCTTTTTATTAAGGCTCTCCACATTTTACTTTTTTTTTTTTACCTTGCCTGTCTTATCTATATATTTCGAAATTTCGTACTTATTTTCCGTACATTATACTTGATTTGAATTATTTTTTTATTTTTTTTGCTGTGAAATCTACTCTTATACGCCTGTATAAAAAAAGAAAAAAGAAAGAATTTAAACTGTTTTTTTTAATGTCAAATGTAGAATAAATAAAGTTCAATTAACCAACCAGCATCGGGTCATTGACTGTCCTCGGCATACTCGACATTCACAACCAACGACCCCATCTTGGACCTGGCGTCCCCCATTGCCTACACACATTTCTGATCAGACACCATTCATAATGTGCATTGCAACACCCATTCACAACACACAATGACCATAAGTTTTCTGTGATGGTTGGCACACTTCATAAACTTCCTTTTAAAACTACTTTTTAAGAGCCACCCCTAAAAATCTGCATACACCACAACATTTAATGAAAATTGTGTTTTTATATCAGAGCAAAATTTTACGATCAAAAGTGGTTATCTTGGTCAATTATGCAAATTTTCTCGGAGAAAGAACGCATTTGTAGTCTTCGAAAATAATTGGATATATGCACTAGTGTTGTTAAAGGCCACAAATGGCGCTATAGCAATATTGGAGCCAACACGGACAGACTGTGATGGGTTCAAGCTAGGTGGTCTCCAATTCCCTACACCTACCCTACATGCAAATTCTGTAGAACTTTGCAGGAGTCATGAATATGTCATGTATGTCCTATGTGTGAAATTTAAATGTTAGCAGTGTCCTAATATTCAAATTATGAAAGGAAACCCGTTTACTTGCTAGAATTCAAGGTCAGACACTATTGAGTGACTGACTGGATTTTTTCTTCTTTGGTAATAACATACATAAAATGACCTGTAAAGGGTACATGAGCATTTGTCTGCATCAATAACCCACTTCTTGTAATGGCCAAAATTAAACTGATTGAACCTTTGCGCGGCATAAAACGTATGACTATTCGGTACCATGGTCTGAAAATCAGACTATTACTTACTGGCTATAAGCTCTTAAGTCGATTCGACAACTAATACTTTTTTAGGAAAGTTCTAAATTAGTATTATCTTTCAAATGCCGTTGGAATTTAACCTTTTCATTTTTTGGCCTGCAAATGGGACATAGTACCTTTAAGTGCAATTGTCAGAAAGTTGTATTGTATCCTGTTAGGAAGCAACCATAATGATGTCAAAGCAAACTGTATAAAGTGTTTCCTTACACAACACTCCTTAAAATCAAGTTCGGCATTTTAAGTACCTCGGTCTGATATGTGATGAAAATTGAAATAGGAAGTTGCATATTGAAACTATTTTGAAAAAGATTAGGAAAACGGTAAGCTTTCTTGGAAGATTAAGACGTTCGTTAATTGAGTTTGTTTTTTAAATTAATTTACAAAATAATCACTAATTCTTCCTCAATCTGATTATGGTGATATCATTTTATAACTCAGCTATTAAGAAATATACAGATAAACTACAAATATCACAGAATATTAAGAATAAAACCTTGTTGTTATTTTTATTTCCGTATAATAAAATCAGATACAAATACAAAATACGGCTGGTAGCCCATTTTCAGCTGCAACTATAATTGTTGCTGCTGGTCTTCCATGGGGCCAGTTTACAATATGCAAAATATACATAATATTAAAAATTAACAAAATAAATAATTACAAAGTATCAGTCGAAAACATAATACAAATACTTAAAGAACAAACTTAAAAAAACAAAAAACAAAAACAAAAACAAAACGAAACAAACAACATATCAACATACTTAAAGAGGTACAACAACAAGGTGATTACAGTCTGTTTAGGTTAGTCTTAAAGGTGGCAAAAGTGGGTAGTTGACGCAAATCAGGGGATAATTTATTATATTGAAAAGAAGCTCTGTACACAAAAGTTCTTTTACAATAATTAGTTCTTGGCTTAGATAAAGAGAGGTTATGTGCATTACGAAGGGAGTATGGAGAGGGTTTAAATTCAAACATGTCTTTCAAATATTCAGGGGTCATGTTATGTAATGTTTTGTAAGTTAGGAGTAATAAATGGATTTGTTGCCTTTCACGTTTCATTTGCCAACCAAGACAGCTATGAATTTGACTGGTAGAAGTATGCGAATAAGGGTTAACTTTTAGTATGATTCTACCGGCCCTATTTTGAATTTTTTGGAGTTGTATTAAACTGTTACTGCAGGCAGATTGCCATACTACATCCCCGTAATCAAAGTGAGGTAATATGATGGAATTATAGATTAATTTCAATTCAGACATATTCACAAATTGTCTTAGTCTACATAAATAACTAACCATCTTACTTAGTTTGTTACACGTCTGTTTAATGTGAACATCCCATTTTAATTTTTCATCCACATATACACCGAGATATTTAAAGCTCTTTACTTGGGACAACTGTTGTTCTTTGATTTTGATATTCAAAAGCGGTTGTTTTTTAAGTATGTTATGTGTTCCAAGTAACATGCATACAGTTTTGTCGTAATTGATCTTTAAGTTGTTTTTATTCATCCACGCATCAAGGCTATTAATTTCTTTATTTAAAACATTTTCCATCACTTTTGTATTTTTATGTGAATAATAAATGGCCGTATCATCTGCATAAAGATGGACCTTGCGGGTGTTGAAAGCAGAATTGATGTCATTTATAAAAATAATGAACTTGGGGCCCTAGTAAAGAACCTTGCGGCACACCTTTCGTAGTTAATCTTTCATCAGAAAGGACATTATTTACCGAAGTTCTTATTCTTCTGTTTGATAAATAGTGTTTGAACCACTGTAATTCTACACCAATTACACCCATAGATTCAAGTTTAGATACAAGGATTAGGTGATCAACCATATCAAAGGCTTTTTGCAAGTCTACGAAAATTGTTCGTGAATCCCATGTTTTGGTTCTTGAGTTACAAACGCCTTAATAGACTGGCAATTCTTAGTAAAAAGAAGACATGATCACTCTGCTGTAATAAAATTAAAAATAATATTGAATGACTTAATCCCTGCCTTATTTAGAAAAATAAATTTGAGCCTGTAACTCACCCCTACCCTTCCCGCTTCGGAAATAAATATACGATTACCAAAGCCACCAACAAAATCTTTGAATAGGTCATTCAAATATAAATTGTATGCAAAGGCGTTTAATGCTCTTCCAATTGATGTTAAATCTTCTACCAGTGTCAATATATTTAAATCGAAAATTTCTGCCCTATAGAGTCGGAGATTAACAAGCACTATCCTTATTAATATTACATAGCCATTTGTTTTTTTGGGGGATATCGTTTAAACTTTGTTAAATTATATTTTACTGTTCGTATATTGTGTACTATGCGTTGCTTTGGAACCCTCTGAAAACCAGCGATAGCATGTTCCCATTGCTGAGCAGGGCTATCCACAACCGTATGTATTATAATGTAATGGGTACTTGCCAATTGCTGGGGTTATAATAACTATCTAGGGTCCTATACAGTGCGTCCCAGAAAAAACGAAACCGAGAATTATTCATGTTTTATCATAACTTAATCACAATTATAATTGATAAACGACACATATTTATAAAGCTTAGATCCTCCTCTTTCATTTGATGGAACTCATATGATGCATATTTCACGCATGAGTTATTAAAATGAATTTGAAGAGAGGAAACCAAAAAGTCATTTGGCGGACGGTATCTGAATTTCAAAGAGAAAATCAAATTTCTAAAAAGTTGAGTTTCTGCCCTTTCATATGACACCTCAGTCAGGAAAGAGCTAGGAATAGCAAAGTTCTGTTCGTTTACAGTAGCGCTTGCATTTTCATAATTTTATCAAACGAATTCGTTTTCACTGGCTGCCTGCCGTAGCAACAAACGGAATTAACAAAAGACTTAACTCCGTTTCGTTGACAATCGGCCGTAGACGAGAGAATTCATGCACTGTATAGGGAATAACAGCATTTTTGCTGATAAGGCCTCTCTGCATGATAATAATAATAATGATAATACATGTAATAATGATAACAACAATAACAATAATAATAATAGTACTGTATAAATGTATTTATTATTATTGTTAATATTATTATTATCATTATTATCAATTTTAACAAATTTGTTTGTGCCTCTCTCCGCAAATCTTGAAAATGGTTAGGATAAGGTATGATGCCAAATAAGAAAAATAATGTGTTTCTCGTCCGGACATTTAAACACAAGGAGGAGGCAGGGCATTGCTATTTACTAATTTGCAATTTTTCCCAAGACGGCTGCCATGCTGATTATAGCTTGCCAAGCCTTTTTATTCACACATATTGTGCTATGTGAGTATGCTGATGCAATGTATGACAAAACAATGATTTGTATCACTTTAGAAGCTATTTAAACAAAATGTATATCACAAGCTGTTAAAAAAAAAAAGTTGATGGCTTTTTTTTTGTGGATTTTTTTGTGTGTGGCTTTAAATAGTAAATAGTGAAAGAAAAAAAGAAAAAGGAGGCAGCGGCCGAAAAGGAGGCGGGCAGAGACGAGAAACACTTCGTTTTAGTTATTTGGTATAATGTTGGTCCAGTGTTACGAATTCGGTCAGTGTAGGAAATTGACATAGCGCCAGTTTCGCAAGAGCAAGTGCAGGTGTCGCAAAATCAGCAAGTATCGTATATATAAAAACTTACCAGAGCTAACATGTTTGCAGCACGTGGTTGTACATTAGTACGGTACTGGTTATGTCGAGCCACGATTTGTGATTTCTCATCGTCGGTGAGTCCATTACCACCCTGTAAGACTGCCAAAACAAGCACGAGACTCAATGCACAGATCATGATGATGATGTGGTGTGGCGTGGCGTGTAGGTATAGGTAGACACTGCTCATATAATATGAAACAGCTCTTGGGATGCTAACGTTTATATTAGGGCTGGTAACCTACTCCCGGTCCCGGAGAAAGGCAATTTCAAATTCAGAAGATTAATTAATAATATGCGTGATAGTGAGAGAAAATTCCATTAACGAAGACATTACTACAAGGACTTTGAGGAGAGAGAGAGAGAGAGAGATGGGGGCGGGGGCACGTGCTTGCATTATGACTTTCATATGTCCTTCGGAATCCAATATGAATATTTTTTTTTTGTGACATTGAATACCGTATGGTCCCTTTGATATTCCATAACCCTTTTGCAACTAACATCAAATTATGTAGAACTTTGCAGGAATTATGAATATGTGACATTGAATACTGTATGGTCCCTTTGATATTCCATAACCCTTTTGCAGCTAACATCAAATTATGTAGAACTTTGCAGGAATTATGAATATGTCGTGTATGTCCTATCTGTGGAGTTTAAACGTTAGCACTGTCCTGATATTCTAACTATGCAAGGAAACCAGTTAACTTGCTAGAATTCAATGTCAGACAATAATGAGCGAGTGACTGGCCTTTTCTTCTTCATTGGTTATAACATACATAAAATGAGCTGTAAAGGGTACATGAGCATTTGTCAACAACCCACTTCTTGTAATGGCCAAAATTAAACTGATTGAATCTTTGCGCAGCATAAAACGTACAACCATTCTGTACAATGGTCTGAAAATCAGACTATTACTTACTGGCTCTATAGCTCTTAAGTCGATTCGACAACTAATAGTCGTTATTTTCCCACTTAAAGACATTTTCAAGCCCCCCCCCCTTTTTTTTAAAGGAAGTTCTAAATTAGTATTATCTTTCAAATGCTTTTGGAATTTAACCTTTAATATTCCATCACCCTTTTTTCTCAATTTCATTACAAAATGATTGATTCACCGAGTCAGAATAGACTTTCATATGTCCTTCGGAATCCAATCTGAATATTCATTTTGTGACATTGAATACCATATGGTCCCTTAAATTTTCCATAACCCTTTTTTTTCTTCAATTTCATTTGAAAATGATGGATTCACTGAGTCAGTTTAGACTTTCATAATTTTTGTAAATGTATGCATACAGTTGTAACAACACAATCACAGGTTGAAATATAGCTTGAAATCTAGATGTCTACAGAATTCATAAAATATATACCCCATTCAAAACTTGACAAGAAAGTATCCATTCTAAAAAGTCTACATAAATCATGAAGAAATTAATAAGGAGCTTTGAGGAGTTTTTATGCGGCTTGAAAAGTACATGTATCTATGATCTATCATTATGAAAGCTGTACCATGTTTATCTGTGTATTTGAAAACTTCCTAAAAGTCTACATAAAAATTATCATGAAGAAATAAGGAGCTTTGGTGAGCTTTGATTTATGCGTCTGTCCTTTCCTTTTCTCTCTTTTACGTTTTTTGTGCCCTCTCACTTTTGTTAAATCTTCAAATGCAAGTGCCTCCTGCACCCATAGAGATGCCACTGTGTACAAAATTGATGGGAATATGTCGATCTGAGATTGATTGGAGGGATTTCGATTTAACTGGATTAATCGCAACTCTTAATAAAGACAATGTACTGGACTCTTGTATGTTCACTGATGATGTATATTGGTGTTTTTTTTTGCAGGAAGCAATACTTGTAAAATTCAATTTGCGTCACTCGGAGTTTATGGGCAGAGTGGAGGTGCTCTGAGAGACACAAAAAGGGTAGGGAACTGGCATATACATTTCCTTTAAAAGATTTAGAATGATTGACAAGAGCCCTTTTCCCCTTTATTATGTACATGTATTTTCAAGTTTTTAACGTTTAAAAATAAGTATACCGGGTTTGGGTAAAAAATGTTATTTCGTCATGAAAAATACAACACATACGAAGTATTCAAGCTTTTATATATAGCCGCATAATCGAAAATGACGTTATTCTAGCATCTTGCTGCCGGGATCTGACGGTTGCCCAATATATCGATATTAAGTTCAAAATAATCAGGGCAGCTGCACCCCCGCCCCCACCCTACCTCATCGTATGGGAAATGTTGTTTCCACAGCGCTTTTGGATAATCTAATTACAAAAATAATGATAGCATTCAAGAGAGTGCGTTTCTATCTACTAGTGGGTTGTTTTAAAGTTTTTTATTTAGGCACAGGCTTTGGAGTAATAGTTTAACCCTAATAAGGCCGGGGGTTATTATGGCCCCCTCCCCTCCTGACTTTTTTCTTTAGAGTCTTGCGCATCTTTAAAACAAAAATTGAAAATCGGATCTACAGTTACAAGATCATGTGACCTTTTGTCTTTGCATGTCGGCCCTAAAATCGCTCATTTTTGTGATTTGTGTACAAAACATATGGAAATGTCATTTTTCCTAAAAATAGATTAAACAATGGTTATTGGGTCTTGTTTAAAGTTTAGGTGGTTGTTTTGGGAGTCAAAATAGTTGAATTGTAGTAAGAAATCAAATAAAACAACAAAAACATAAAAATACATAAGTTAAAAAATTAATGCAATACATAAGAAATTATCTAAACAAGAGATAACATTAGGAATAATTAGCTGGCTCTTCCAAATTTGGTAGTCGTATTATTATTCTAAACGATCTAATGAATATATGTAGTGAAAAAGAATGCTTAAATATTAATAATATTGATTTTATAACCTTATTTGCATAAATTACTATAAATATGCAAATGAGTGATTTTTTCGAAAAAATGAAATTACCATATTATTCTATACACTTCACTTGACATGCGTGCAAATTTTCGCGGAGATCGGCCGTTTCACGGCCGAGATCTTAAGGGGGGCATAATGCCCCCCCCCCCCCGGCCGTACTAAGACCTCAAATAGCCCGGCCTTTTTAGGTTGAATGGATTTTGTCTGACATTTCTTGGGTTATGTAAAATGTATTTCAAGTTTAATGATAATAGTCACGTTTGTATAGAGCTCCTATGTGTCTCAGCGCCTTACATATTACCCCGGTCATTGGATTCAATTGCTAACAAAAAGTCGTGTATAGGTTAGTCAGGCGCGGATACAGGATTTCTTAGAGGGGGGGGGGGGCCAAATTTAAAATTATGCGAGCCAAATATTGGTACGTAATGGTGACCAGCAATGGCGTAATGAGCAAAAATATTAGTTTTTTTTGGGGGGGGGCAGAAAAAAATCCGCATCACCCCATCCCACATGCAGGCCCCGCTGAACGTTTTTTTTTCATAGTGGGTGGGGGGAGGCTTAAGTAGTTACGATTAGGTAGATCGTAGCATAAATTGGCGTGGAGTCTAGGGGGAAAGCCCCGGCGGGGATCATGGGGCGCAGCCACCGGAAGCTCAGCCGGAAGCTCAGGGGGTGTGGACATTTAATTACAGTCAGATGAGCATATATTCACTGGCAGGTCATTAATTGGCGTGGGGTCCAGGGGACAGAGCCCCCGGAAACCCAGGGGTATTAGGCAATTTAATTACGGTTAGATGAGCATATTTTTATACCTTATTTGTGACACTGGCATGACACTAATTGGCGTGGGGTCCAGCTTCCAGAAGTTCAGGGGTTTTACGCATTTTATAAAGGTCAGATAAGCATTCAGGGGCCCGCCTTAGAAACCGTGGTTGGGTCCAAGGGGCAGAACCCCATGAAGCTCAGGGGTTTTAGGCATTTAATTACGGCCAGAATGATGAGCATATTTTGCGATACCTTATTTTTTACACTGGTAACACACTAATTTGCGTGGGGTCCAGGGGGTGGACCCCCCGCAAGCTCAGGGTTTTAAGGCATTAAATAACCGTCAAAATAATGAGCATCTAGAGGCCCGCCTTAGAGCCCTAGGTGGGGTCAAGGGGGCAGAGCCCCCGGAAACCCAGGGGTTTTAGGCAATTTAATTACGGTTAGATGAGCATATTTTTATACTTTATTTGTGACACTGGCATGACATTAATTGGCGTGGGGTCCAGCCACCAGTAGATCAGGGGTTTTACGCATTTTATAACGGTCAGATAAGCATTCAGGGGCCCGCCTTAGAACCCGTGGTTGGATCGAGGGGACGGAGGCCCCAGAAAATCAGGGGTTTAAAGCATTTAATTACGGTCAGATAAGTATCCAGGGGCCCGGCCGGGGCATACTATTATGCCTCCTATATAGCTATCACTGCCACGGCCTCGATCACTGGTACCCATTATGACCTTACTTTTTCCCCACTATTTTTCATTCAAATCTTCCTCCTTTTGCCTCCCCTCCTCCTCCTTTTGCCTCCCCTCCTCCTCCTTCTCCTCCTTTTCCTCCCCTCCTCCTCCTCCTCCTCCTACTGTTCCTCCTCCTCATCCTCATCCTCCTCCTCCTCGATCCTTCTTCGTCTTCTTCTTTTACCCGATCCTTCTTCGTCTTCTTCTTTTACTCCAAGCTAAGTTCTTTTTTCTCAATTCTTCTTCTCCATATTCCTACTTTTCTTCATCTAATTCTTCTTTTATTTCTACTTCTTCTTCTTGTTCCTTCTCCTCCTTATTTTCCTTCTCATTCTCCTCCTGGATCCTCCTTCTTCATCTCCTTCTCCATCTTCATCCTTCTCCTCCTCATTGTTCCGCTTCTCCTCTTCGAGTCCGCCTTTTTCTTCTCCTTATTCTCCTCCTCCTCGATTCTCTTTCGTCATCATCTCCTTCTTCATCTTCATCCTTCTCCTCCACATTATTCTGCTTCTCCTCCTCCTTCTCCTCCTCCTTCTTCTTCTTCTTCTTCTTCTTCTTCTCCTCCTTCTTCTCCTTTTAAAGTCTAACTAGACTAGATTCTTATATTGCGCCCTAGAAGAGAGCATCCTTTGTTTACGTCACTATGGTGACCTTAGATGATATTCAACATCTTCGTGTCAAAGAACTTCGTAGCGAGCTTCAAAAGAGAGGTCTTGACAAAAGTGGCGTCAAGGCAACACTAACCGCTCGTCTCAAAAGAGCCTTGGATCCTGAGACCGCAGCACGAAATACTGATGAAGAAAGGC